TTTTTTTTAAATCGGGACATTTTATTTTGAAGCACTAGTTTCTGGTCTGAAAGATGGTAGAAAGAACATCACCAAACTGAGGCTGCAAGATAGCTGGGTGATAGCACATTCTGGGCCTATTGGTTAGACAAATCTCCACTGCACCCTCTTGTGCTCTCATATGAGACTCTCTCTCATCTTCTCCTTTGTGGAACATCTAGAAATCCCAGGAAAGGTCCTTCTTCCTTCAATGTACCTTTCCTGCCCACCACTGAGAAAGCACAGTATCAGATTTAACTTAAAGGAGAAATACTTAAATGAATCCATTTATTATTGAAGAGAATATATTGAAGGGTAAATTTAGAACTGAGATTCAATATATTTGATAACAAGCATGTATTTTTTTTTCTAATATAAACATTTAACACTGAAATTTATCTCCAAGTACTGCATCCCATAAATTTTGTTTTTATTTTCATTTGTCATAATATTTTGTAATATCCGTTATGATTTAGTCTTTGATTCATAGGTTAATAGAAATATGTTACTGATTTCCCAATATTTGGTTATTTTCCAGCTATCTTTCTATTACTGACTTCTGGTTTTAAGTTTTTTTTGTTGTAAGAGAACACATTTTGTATGGTTTCAATTTTTTCAAATCTATTGGGTTTTCATGCCAATGTAAAGAAAGCAAAACTCCTTAACACTTTTGTTGTTAAGTGCCATCGAATCGGTTCCAACCCATAGTGTCCCTATATAGGGTTTCCAAGGAGCAGCTGGTGAGCTTGAACTGCCAACTTTGTGATTCAAACTGACTTTGCAGTTTAGTGCCACACCAGGACTCCAAAATCCTCACTACTGGACCAGTAATGACAAATGGAGAAAAGATTGAAGTTGTCAAAGCCTTCATTTTGGTGGGATCCACTATCAACATTCATGGAAATAGCAGTCAAGAAAGCAAATGATGTTTTGCATTAGGCAGATCTATGTAAGACCTCTTTAAAATGTTTAAGAGCAAAAACGTCAGTTTGAGGACAAAGATGCACCTGACCACAGTCATAATATTTTCAGTCACCACAGATACATGTGAAAGTTGGACAATGAGTAAGGAAGACTGTAGAAGAATTGATGCATTTGAGTTATGGTGTTGGAGAAGAATATTAAAAGTACCACAGATTGCTGGAAGAACAAAGAAATCTGTGTTGGAAGAAGTACAGCTAGAAGGCTCCTTGGAAGCCAGGATGGCCAGACTTTGTCTCTTATATTTCAGGCATGTTATCAGGAGGGACCAGTCCCTGAAGAGGGACATCATGCTTGGTACAGCTAACGAAAACCAACAAGATCCCCTATGAGATGAATTGGAACGGTAGCAGCTACAATG